CCAGTGTGTTTTGAATTTTACTTGGTCCAATACTGGATTCCCAGCTATCAGTCTGAGGGCCCATTAGCTCCTCCTTGTTCAGGTCAGCTGTCTCTGTGGGTTTCTGTAGCCTGGTCTTGTCCTCCATTTCTGCACCTGGATTCCAGTTCAGCTCAGTGTTTAGCTGTGGGTGTCTGCTTCTGTTTCCATCAGCTACTAGATGAGGTCTCCATGATGGTAAATAAATTAGTCATCAATCTCATTATCAGGGAAGGGCATTTATGGTAGCCTTTCCACTGTTGCTCAAATTGTTGTTGGGGTCAGTCTTGTAGGTCTCTCTACATTTCTCTAGAGTCAGTTTTCTCTTCAAACCTATAATGGCTCCCTCTCTTATGGTATCTCTCTCTTTCTCTCTCTTTTATTTCTCTCGTCTATCCCTCCCCTTCCTAGTCCCATGTGCTTTCCTCTCCTCCTCTTCTCTTTCTCCTGGCTCCCTTTCCACTCATGCCCACCCCCAATCCCAATATGCTCAGGATATCTTGTTCCTTTCCCCTTCTATGAGGGACCTTAGATTCCTTTGAATTTCTCCTTATATCCTAGTTTCTCTGTCAGTGTGATCATTTGCTCTATGTCTAAAATCCATATATGAGTGAGTACATACCATGTTCCTCTTTTTGTGACTGAGTTACCTCATTCAGGATAGTTTCTTCAAGTTCCATCCATTTGCCTGCGAATTCAGACCCCCTGAATGTGGGTCCCAGTTAGAAGGCCTGGGCAGTCTAAGGGACTCTGACAGTGGAACCAGGATGTATCCCTGGTGCACAAAAGGACTTTGCGGGCACATCTCCAATGGAAGGATACTGCCTTAACCTAGAGACAGGAGAGAGGGCCTAGTCCCTACTCCAAATGACTTGACAGATTTAGATGATCCCTCCTGGAAGGCATCACCGTACATGTGTATTGGAGGTGGGGTGGGAGGGGAGGGTGGTTGGGGGGGTATGAGAGGTTGGGAGAGAGGGAAAAAGGGAGAGGGAACTGGGATCGATATGTAAAATAAGAAAAATAAATAAATAAAAATTAATAATTTTTTTAAAAAATTTCACTTGACTTTTTCAGATTCTGTAATACTCATATAAAGGCCCACAGCTTGTTCCTTTTCCTCAGTGGCATTGAAAATCCAGGTCAATTTTATGATTTAATGATTAAATACAAACAAAAGAATAATTAAGGAGATGGGAGCCTTTGAAATGTCATGAACAACAGCCCTCTAGCAAGCCCTCTTGGGCAGATTAGCCTGTGGGACTCTTGACATGTCACACTAAAGGGAGGTTATCTATTCTATTTTTAGCCATATGTTGTGAATATATTTGCTTTTAAATGAATTTATAAAATATTAATGTAATCCTACCAAGCTGCAGAGTGCTGACTACATCAGTCAGGAGTTACATTATCCTATATATTTGTTTGTCTCCTATTAGTAGACAGTACATGAAGACAGGCATTTCCTTCTCGGTGGAAGCAGCAGAGCTTGTTTAATGAAGTGATGTTTCTGTAATCTGTGGTAAGGTAGAGTTGTGAGTGACAGAGCTATATGAATAACAATGAGGAGGCAGGAGTAAGAAGGAGACAAACACTTCGATAGCAGGGGAAAATGGACGGAATTGTTTAGGCGGCATCCAATCTAATCCGATCTTTTCCTGACAAAAATTCACAGTTTGGAAATGGTTGAGGGTGTTAACAATTTCTGCAAAACCTTCTGCACTAGGAATCGAATTTTCCAAACACACAAGTGGCACTCTGAATCGGGGGGCTTTTATCCCACTGCACAGCAAGACAGAGGATCAGGGACCTTAAGTTCTCCAAGATAGAAAGGGAAACTAGACACCCTCCCTGGACCCTGCATAGAGCCTAACATAGAGAAAGCTTGTGTTTGTGGACTGGTACGGTGAATAACAGAGTTAGAGAGTTTATCACTATGTGTTTCACAACTGGCAAAGAAAGAAGACTTATGAGGACTATCATGCCAGAGGTCTTCATACCTGATTTGTTATTTCATTGTCTGAGCTGAATTTCATTTTATGCCCTTATGTTTACCAAAAAAGGAAATGGAAGCATAGAGATGTTAAGAAATTTTCCTCAAGGTCACATGCTGTTGCAAAGGAAGAAGTTAAGAGAGCCTCAGGAGAGAGGGTATGGATAAGTGTGCATGCATGTTGGATGGGATAACCTATGAAGGTTGAGTGTAAGTGTTGTTATATAGTAGAAGAGCTCATGAGAGAAACTTTTTCTTCCTAAACCTGTCTAGTACCTCAGGAAGACAGACATTAGAAGATGGAGATGGCCTAGCCCATGTGTCCAGACACAGGGTTCCTTCAATACTTGGTATATATAGTAAGGCTAAAGTTCTGCTCCTGTTAGAACCACAGAGTCCCTCTATCTTAGAGAACCACCCAGGAACCTCAAGACCACCTTAAAGACATCCTTGAAAACATTATTCCACTGAGCTCTGTGGTTAGCAAACCCAAGACTTTGGGAGTAGGGGTACTAACTACTAATGCAACTGCCCCTTCCTCACCAGAACAGCCTTTGACAATGTTTCTTTGATTGCACTGCGCTGTTTGCATAGCTATGGTGAGTAAGTATGGGAAATGGAAAGTAGAAGAAACTTGGTGAGGCTAGAGAGATTGCTCAGAGTTTAAGAGTACCAGCTGATCTTCCAGAGGTCCTGAGTTCAATTCCCAGCCACATGGTGGCTCACAACCATTCATAATGAGATGTGGTGCCCTTTCTTGGCCTGCAGGCATACATGCAGGCATAACACTATATAAATAATAAATAAATAAATAAGTCTTAAAAAAAAAGAAACTTGGTGAAGCTCCTTCTCTCAATTTAGACAGTGTAATGAGGACTACTGTTAGATCCAAATGAGGCCTTTGCTCTGAGCCTGTACTTCACTCCTTGCTTTCAAAGGCTTATCTTCCTTGTTACTAGGTCTCTCTCTAGTTTGAAATACTGGCCAGGAAGTCAATGTCATAAGATCAGGTACCAAGCCCAGAGCAGGATCTGTTTATTCTACCAGAAACACCATTCTTGAAAATTGCAAATTCCCCCTTCCATATCAGGGACTGATCAGAGCTGACAGAGTACCTGAGTGCAGAGTCCTAATTTCACCCTAGACCCCTAAGGGCCCCAGTTTCTAGTTATCCTATTTAGGATAACCTCTCCATCTTCTACCCCATATATGAAATCAACTAGATACCTCTAGAAACTTCAGTACACATGCCTATGGAATCCTTCTGGAGTCTTCTTTCCATCAGGAGAACGATCTGACAAATAAATCACGCCAGTGATTGAAGTTGTATGCTTTTGCAATGTATCACATGAAATTGTGCCGTCAAAATGATGTTGATGTTGATTTGGGATAAATCAATTTGTATACATATGTAAACCTTATAAAAATTGTTTGGGTTCTGTAAGGAGTACGGTTTTTCCTCCCGCCACCTGGTCTTGTCCTGCTGCTGCGCCAGCCCCAAATAATACACAGAGACTCTGTATTTGATACAATGCTGTTGGCCCGGTTACTTGTTTCTTATCGGCTAGCTCTGCCTTAATTATTAACCCATTTCTGTTGATCTATGTATTTTCACATGGCCTTCTCTTACCGGGGAGGTGGCTGGCGTCCAGCTCTCTTCAGACTCTCCATCTTGACTCCTCCCTACTACTTCCTATTTCCTCCTTGTCTCCTAGTCCCTCCTATCTTCCTTTCCTATTGGCCAACAGTGCTTTATTATTAACCAGTATGAGAAACATACAGAATGACATCTCCCATAAGGGTGCTGTCTTAGTTAGGGTTTCTGTGACCAAATAGTAAGTTGAGGAAGAAAGGTTTATCTGGTTTGCACTTCAGCATTGCTGTTCATTATTGAAGGAAAGTCAGGACAAGAACTCGAACAGGGTGGGATCCCGGAGGCAGGAGCTGATGCAGAAGCCACAGAGAGGTACTGCTTACTGGCTTGCTTCCCATGGTTTGCTCAACCAGCTTATAGAAGCCATGACCAGCAGCTCAGGGGATGGCACCAACCACCATGGGCTATGATCACTAAATCAGGAAATGCCTTACAGCTGGATCTCATGGAGGCATTTCTTCAGCTGATGACTCTAGCTTGTGTCAAGTTGATACACAAAAACAGCCAGTACATATACTGGCATACTTCCTAGAGTCACACTTCTTTGTGAAACAAAAAGCAGTGTAACGTAAAACAAAATTCAGTGGCAAAAAGTGTGAACAGATTTTAGACACGGAATTAGGAATGCACTGGAATAATCTACAAATGGTTCTTCGAGTGTATAAGATTTGAAGCACAGGGAGAAAGAACTAAGAGAGCTTCACATAATTCCAGCCAGGGCAAAGAACATGAACAAAGACACACACAGTACGTGTTTGTTGAGCCACTTTGTGTTGTGTATTATACTAAGCACATTTCATTCTTCATTCTATTTACTCCTCATAGCTCCCTAGAAGGTAGGAGATATAAACCACATGGCAGCTGAGAAAATGGAAGTTCATATTGTTAAGCAAATGACAGAAAGGAGAACCTAAGTCTCCCTCATCCCCAAAAGTGTATACTGTTACCACTATAGTGTAAAAAGATAGAAAAGGTGCAGGAGACAATAAGAAGCCTTGTCAGAATGGAGCCAAAGATGTGTACTGGAAACTGATGGAGATGTGATCCTTAGAAAAGGCAGAGCAATGTTATAGAAGATAATGAATATCTGACAGACATGTAAAAACTAGTTGCATAGGCAGGGATCAAACAAAACAATACCTACATTGTGAAAAGAAGGTCCATAGACATATGATAATTAAGACTGAAATATGTTAATCACGAAGAGGCATTTGTTTGTTTTGCCTTTCTCTTACAAAGACCTTTTAATTTGATATTTCTGAGATAACGTTCTGTCTCCATTTGACCTTGTCTGCTATCATTTATTGTCTTTTTGTTTTTTGTCTCCTGTTTCAGACTTCGATCCTGCCCTTGGAATGATGACTGGAATACCTCCAATAACTCCAATGATGCCTGGTTTGGGAATAGTACCTCCACCAATTCCTCCAGATATGCCTGTAGTAAAAGAGATCATACACTGCAAAAGCTGCACTCTCTTCCCGCCCAACCCAAGTACTAGCCCGGTTTTTCTATATGGTGCTGTTGTTTTGTTTTGCCTCTTTAAGCCACAGTGTCTTAGAGTTTCTTCCTTTTCAAAGAATACCTAAGGGCTTCATGGGTGTAACTACAGAAGATTCACCTAGAAAAGAGCAATGGAAAGTTGTTCTCTTACTAGGAAAGGCTGAATTTTATTTACAAACAGTAGATTTGTGCTGGTTGCAGTATAAGTGGTACAGTGTGCCTAATGCCATCTGACGGAATTCAAGTGTGTTAGTACAGAAGGAGGCACCCAACACAAATTGCTCAAAGCTATTATTTTTTTCTTTTTTAACTAATCCAGAGGCTGAGCATGGTCTGAGACCAGCTGAAGCCCTTGCCGGTGAGAAACTGTATTTAATGCTAAGATGCCTCCCCTGCTACCAGCTATTCATCCATCATTCCACCAACTGCTATTTACCTTATATACTACAATATATAGGAGGTGAAATTCAGTTCCTTGGAAGGGCAAAGAGGAATGCTGAAACTAAGTCAGACTACTTGTAGCCATGCAATCATGCAACCCTTATAGAAATGATCTAGAGAATCCAGCTTGCTAGTAAAGGATAGGCTTCTCTGAAGACTTACTTTAACATGGCTGTATTATTAAAGTGGCTGTTTCAGGTGAAATTTAACAGCATTGATGCACTTTTTTTCCAGATCCACCTTTTAAATGATTAAAAGCTATCCCCACACTGACCCAAATCTCATTAGTATTTTTCCTAGACTCCTATGGTATTGCATGGTGCGTCAAGGAAGCTGCTGCTGTGATGCTCAGATTACAGTTGTTGGTTTAAAACACCATCTGGCTGTTTAGATCATACATCAAATGAACTTGCCTCATCAAGATAAATAGCAACCTTTAACATATGTCGCCACACAAATATTTCATCCTCTACCATAAACAGGAATCAGTTCGTCATGAATCAGATGCTGCCAGGGACCCAGATTCTATTTAGTGTGACTTGCTCATAACTAAGAGAGTTTTAGAATCAGTCACAGTTGGCTTGACAAGTCTTCTTGGCCACTTTTGCAAGTGAAGAATGATCTCAGTGTCTTCTGTGCTTTAACTGAATTGTTAACAGGGCACATCTTTTCAGACCACTAAGAAATCTAGGATGACAGCATCTAAGATGACTGTATTTAGAAAAGAGTATTTGTTTCAAGCAGAGTTAGGGAATAAGGAAGAAAATAGCCTTTTGTGGCCCTTTCTTGACAACTCACATGGTCACCCTGGATTTTAGTTTTATGCCTAGCTGAGCAAGCAATGCCATTAAACCCTATTGCTTACTCTTACTTCCACTGTCCTGACACATGTGATGGCCATTTCCTCCTTTCTTCTAGCATTTTGTGTTCAGACTAGAGAAAGATATACATCCCCAATATTTCCTTTATCATGTAAAAACAACCCCTGAATGTAGGCATTGCCATTGTCAAAATTGAAAAGTCAGTCCTGCTGATTTAATCATTCGTATATTGTGCGAGCAGCCTGTGCTAGTCATTATTTTAGTCAAGTCTAAGCTAGCAAAATGGCTCACAACCTGTAATGTCCATGGTGGATGCAATAGATGTTCAGCTTAAGGGTCCAGTTTCTAAGTCTCCAAAGAACAGCACAGTGTCCTGTATCGTTGTTTGTTTGTTTGCTTGCTTGCTTGCTTGCTTTTTTCTTTTTTAACACATAGACCACGTTAATTCTTTTCCTTTTTTAATTTAAATTTGAAACAAGGTTGTTTCACATGGCAATCCCAGTTCCCTCACCCTCCCCTCCTCCCCATCACTCCCACCAAACCCAAGCCCATCCCCTTTCTGCTTCCCAGGGAGGATGAGGCCTTCCATGGGGAGTCTTCAAACATAGACCACATTATTAAGCAACCTTTGAATGCATGTCAGAACATGTCTTAAAGAGGTTGTAACTTCATATTCTGTAGTAAAAGAAATAAGTAAAGTTCTCTTTCTCCAACACATTTTTATCTTTCTCTTCCTGCAGCTATGATTTCTTTGTTCTGAATTGGAAGGGCCAGAGAGTAAGAAGGCAGCCTTTGCCCAAAGGCCCATTCATTTACGTCTTCATCTTTGTACTAAGGAAGGCTGACAGGGCAATTAATGCCAGTAACTGAGTGGCTTCTGGGAATGAATCTGCTTTAGAATTAAATTTAAAATAACACTCCTGTGAAGCTTAAATCAGGCTGGTGTTTTATTTGCTTTGTAGAAATGGATTTTGTTTAAAGAGAGGTACTCAGATTAATTGTGTACAAAACACCTAGCTAAGGCATCTCACTCTTAATTCTTTGCTGAAAGTGTGGCAGTTGTGCCATTTTTATTAATAGTGAGTACGTGTTGTTTTTTATAAAAGTAAGACAGGAAAGCAAGCAGTTGATATGGCTTGAACCCCTTATCATCTCTAGGGCCAACCAAACCTAATTTATTATAAGGCCTCGATTAAAAGCCCCACTACGCACTCCTGCCTATATCTAGTATATTCTCAGGAGCCTCTAACTCCAAAGCCTCACTCAGCACTAAGAGCCTATTATTCAGAGATAATCTCAGTGTCTTTAGTCACCACGCAGATTGCTTCTAACTCTTGTTGCTTTATTAGAAAATAAAAATATTATCACCTTCCCCTGTCCAACCATACTATCCTTCTAAAAGCTTGCCACATAAATAGAACTATGATATTATCCTAGGGCTCTCAATTCCTAGTCTAACTCAGTGCTTTTCAACCTTCCTAATGCTGCAACCCTTTAATACAGTTCCTCATATTATGGTGACCCCAACCATAAAACTATTTTTTGTTACTACTTCATAACTGTAACTTTGTCACTGTTTATGATTCATAATGTAGACACCTGTTTTCTGATGGTCTTAGATGACCCCTGTGAAAGGGTGGTCTGACCCCCAAAGGGGTCATGACCCACAGGTTGAGAACCCTGGTCTAACTCCTGACCTCAAAAACTCTTCCCTACTCTGCTTCATTACTGTTTTCAGTCCATCTTTTCTACTTGCAACATGCTGAACCTTTAGTCAGGTTCAAGTGCTTCCTGACCTCACACCCTATTCACCTCCCACCCAGCTCCAAATGTACTCTCGTCCAGAGTACTTTAGCATGGGATGAACTGAAATCAAATCTAGACACTAAATCCAGTAGAAGCGCTGGATTTTAATTCCTTCCTTCACCTCTCTGCTGTATTTAACACTATTGACCCATGTATCCTTCTTGAAAGTTTGATTTGAAGGAATAAGACTGCCTCAAACCAAGCAGAGATAGAAATAAAAAATAAATATTAAAATGCAACATGATGAGGAAACCCAACATTTCAAAAGTAAAAAAGAAAGAGGGGGCTAGGTTCTGTGGGTAACATGCCTGCCATGAAAGCCTGAGGACCTTAGTTCAGATCACCAGAACCACATAAAAGCTAGGTGTTGTATGATCTGTACATATCTGCAGCACTGGGAAACAGGCAGGAGATTCTGGAGGTTTGCTGGCCAACCAGTGTAGCCAACCAAGGAGCTTCAGATTCAGTGAGACTTCTGTCTCCAAAAATAGGCACACATTGATAGAGGAGCACCAACCTCTAAACCACACTACCTAGGATCTTAGCTTCTTTACCATTAACTAAGGATGATGCATTAGATTAGCCTAGATACCGCTAACTTCACTCGGCTGTAAAACTGTGACTGCTACATTTAGAAAAGCTACCACTATAAATATTTCTCTAGATAAAACTCCTCAAAATATACTAGAAAATCAAAAGAAGGTTGGCATGTAATACATGGAGCTTTTTACATTTGCTGGAGCACGCAGGATACCTTAACAGTTAAGTATTTGGTGTCTGAAATAACCCAGGCCTTATTTCATAGCTTAGTTTTCTACCTCTTTTTAGCCATGAGATGTTGGTAAGTAACTGGACCACTCTGATCTACAGTAGGCAACAGAAGACCTAATGCCAAACTTCAGTAGATCTTACTAAAGCAGACAAGACCAAGCACTGGGCTCCTATTCCTAGGACTTGAAGTATAGCAAAAAGATAGCTAACTACAGCACACATACTTTTTCCACAGTACAGCTGTCAGAGTTAGTTTCTCTATTAATGGTTTTCTCTGATGAGAGAATGCAACAATACCATCTCTCTAGGGATGTCAGTTTTTAAGATGTTTCACTTCCACTGTAACACCTTCTGTATGGACAGGTTACATTTTGAATCTATTGGAAGTAACAGTGAATGAAGAATGAATGATGAAATGTCATCTGCTGCCTGTGTGCAGACACATGTAAAAACACCCAGGAACCAGAAAAAAACAAAATTTTTGTTTTACCATATCAAAAGAGACAGAACCCATTTTGCCTCTGAAGACTGGACTCTATAAAGACAATTAAAATAAATGAGTAAATTGGGCATTAATAACAATTTTCCAGCCTTCTGATTGTTTCCAATTAGCTGGGATTACATTAAAAATGCATCTGACCTCTACTGATTGTATGTAAGGCCTTCGCTCTTGAGCTGTCTAATAAAATCTACTCACAGACTTTGCACTGTATACAGTCTGACAAACCAACTGAGTGTTCTCTGATGCGCCTCAGAAAAGCAGGATGTTATGTAAATGGTGTTTGGTTCCTTTGTGCTGCTCTCTGCCTCCCTTCTCAAAGACCAGCAGTGGATTCTGATCCTAATACTGATAGTCTTAGCACACTCCCCAGAGTAGATACTTGGATGTAATTAAAATTGCTAAAAACTCCTCCTTTTCCATTGCCAAAGACTAGTTCTTTATTCTTCCAATTATCTTGCATCTTGACATGAACTTTCCTTTGTCACCATACTGAGTGGTGATTTAGGCATTACAGCGCCTAGCACATCACCTGTTGAATAGGTAGAGTTTAAATTTGTTCTCCTGTAGGGTTCTCATTGCTGCGCGCCGATCATTGGAATCTAATCTCAATGGGATTAGAAAATCGGGCCTAAACAACAAAGACATTGAACTGTTAATTAAAGAAGAGATGCTATCCATTAATGAAGACAGTACAGCCTTTTTCCTGCCCACAGACATACACTGAAATCTCAGCAAATGCTATCAAACAGGTCTTCTATATTTACTTAAGGAAAACAGATACATCGCAACATTATTCTTAGTGAATTTTATGCTCTGTTACTTAGTAGAAGTCACCTCAAAAGAATTACAGCATCTTAATAATGGCTTCATCACAAAATGTTAAGCCCCACAAATGTAGTCAGGGGATGGACGTTTGCATTCTGGGTATTATATGTAAGTTCCAGAGTAAGCACCTATTTCTTAGTCTGTCAGTAGGCATAAACTAAATTCAAGTCATGTAATGAGGTGATTTTTGCTTCATAAAAGTATTATTTACCATGCAGCGCCTTTAAAATAAGTTCCAGAAACCTTTTTTATTCTAAAAATAGGATGTTATTCTAAAGCTTTTTGTTTGAAAACAACTCTATCTAAACAGATAGTCTTGAAAATTCATTACCTGTGTATGCAGTGGCTGGGTTGTGTTCTGTGGTCAAAGCTGCATGCATCTTCACATCCATAAATTCCCCAAGCTCAGATTTATCTGGATAAAAAAAGGAGGTTTGTATTCTACAGGTCCAGGGTCTTCACTAATACTGTACTCCAGACATGAGATAGAGTAATAAAAAGCCCCAGGTTGGGGATTGGCAGACCTGGGTTCCATAATAAATATTAACATTGTAATGACTACTATTTGTTAGGAAGTGAAGAAGTCCTAGGGTTTGTACAACAGCCAGTAGGGTCAATGTAGTATCTATTGATACAGAACAATGTATAGGGTAGGGAATGGTATCCCTATTCAGAAGATTGAAAATGGGAGTGTTCACAGGTTGCGTAGCTTCTTCATGGCCACAGAGATATCAAGTAAGATTTAAATGTGGGTTTTCCTGTTCCAAGTTTATCATGTCGTTATCTAATGTGATGACCTTGAATAAGATACCTCATTCAGCCAAGAATTTTCCTCTGTAATATCAGAAGTTCAGAATACTCAGTGACTTTCAACCCTAACTACACACTATGTCTGCCTGATGAGCTAACAACAACAAAAACAAACAAGCCAAGAAAACAAAAATACAAAATCAAAACAAAAAGCACAGGCTGTACCCTGAACTAATTAAATCAGTCTTATTAGTGTGGGGCCAGGCATTTATTTGCTTAACTCCCAAGTTGAATCTTTCATGCTACTAGAATTAAGAATAACTGGAATTATGATGGCAAAACTATTTTCTAGTTATTAAAAAGCCGAAGTCTAAAGCAATCTCAGCCCCTTTCTTCCATTATTACTAAATGACCTCGGTTAATAGGAATAAGCAAGATAGTTCAGACTCCAGGTCACTCTAACATGTTCCCTTTCCCTCTAAATGTCTCATATGAAACACACAAACAAAAAACAAAACAGTGAGTTCTTAAAAGTAGCCGTTTTAAGTTCTCCCATTGTCCGCTTTAGCAGCTAAGTAAGGGAGGAGTGTGCCATCATGAAAAATTTGGTCTTCTCAGCAACCCCAATAAGTCACGCAGCAGTCGCAAAGCAAGGTCAGTAGGGGTACTGCTAACCAAGGAAGCTTCCAAGTCAACCTCTGCCAGCTTGGGTAAGACTCAGGCAGAGACTTCACCCTCATCTGTGAGACTTGTTTATTTTCGCAGGGGAGCAGTAATCCCTGATTGTTGAGCTTCCAAATCTTGAGCTGGGAGAATTGTTGAGAGCTGAATCAGAAGAATGGATTACACAAAATAAATCCTTGCAGATACAAACCAACACTTGGAAGAAAACAAAACAAAACATGGCCAGCAGGGCTCTTTGTTTTGTTGGGCTCTGGACTGTAGGATTTCACTCTTAAACAACAAAAATCCTTTGACACATATAAAGAATAACAGGGACAGATCCAACAAGCTTTATATATACAATGAGTGGAAAGCACTTTTTAAGCAGAGGGAGAATCACCTCATTAGGGATGTTTTAATGGCTCTCTATAGCAAGATTTATCTCACTTTAGTTAATGGTTTTCCAAGCTTACAGTTTCTCATGCCTTGTGCCCCTTTACATGCTCCAAGACTGCCTTTAGGCCTCACTACTCCAGCAAGAAATTAGATGAGAGGCTTATTTGTATTTATATGTAAAACTCCCTAAAAATATAAAAGGGATGCTTTGTACTCTAATTTGTTTAACCAAGCCATTCTACAAGCTATAAATGTTTTCATATTCACCTTGTAATTGTCAAATCAGCCGTGAACCACTTCTTTCAATAAACATAAATAGAATATCTCTCTATCAGGGACTGTGGACAAACAGACTCCTGAATGTAGTAGTTAAGTGAAATTTCCCCTACTTACTATTCATAATACAAATGACCGAAACATTGACATACGGGCTTTTCACAGCAAAAGGAAGGAATGAAACTAAAGCTCTCTCCGTGGAACTGACAGAATGGGTCTTCATTCCCTAGCAGCCACAGTTCCAGAAATCATTGGACAATATGCTTTTCGGGTTCATGCAATAAATTTTCTATGGAGCAGAGGCAAGCACCATGGAGACTGAACTTTTTGAGGGGAAAAACTCAGGTTTCAAAGAGATCTGTCCCAAGCAAGTATTCTTATTTCAGACTCTCTTGCCTTTAAATTTAGATCTCCCTCCACCTGCAACACGAGAGAGACCACCAGGATGCAAGACAGTATTTGTGGGTGGCCTGCCTGAAAATGGAACAGAACAGATCATTGTGGAAGTATTTGAGCAGTGTGGAGAGATCATTGCTATCCGGAAGAGCAAAAAGAACTTCTGTCACATTCGCTTTGCTGAGGAGTATATGGTGGACAAAGCCCTTTACCTGTCTGGTAAGTGTTGATATGGGGAATTGTGCTCACCAGGCATAATGCAGAGGTCTCAGAGCAGAGTACTTGGGTCATTAGCAGAAGTGATTAAATTAAAAGGGACTCCCTCTGCCTTAAAAGATGGAAAAAGAATGCTACCTCCTCTCCAGCCTTCTTCCTTAAAGCCATCAGAAGTTCGGAACTGTCTGGTAAATAACCAGACTTTACATGTGAGATTAAAGATAAGGATGACAGGCTCTGCCTCTCAGTTTCACATCCTAATTCTTCCTGCACACATGTCCCAAATACATGGTAAATACTAAGTCCCAGAATGTGCCCCAATGTTTTATGTCTATCCCTCTACTGTAATTACTTTCCCCATGCCAGTCCAACACACACACACACACACACACACACACACACACACACACACACACACACAGTAATGCTACAGCTCAAATGTAAACTCTATGAAAATCTTTCTCTACATTTTCTATCCAATCTGTCCCAAGTTGATTTAGGTACCCTTTCCTGGCTGCTCCTACACCCCTTGGCACTATATTCTAACATTGCATCTATTACACCATTCTAGAACTCATGCACACTCACTACTACTACTAATGTTGAGTAATTGTAACAATTACCATAGGAAAGGGAAAGATAATGGAAGAGGGATTGAAAGAGGGATGGGGATACCCAGAAAGGTCACTTTTATCTGTCATGTGGTGTGTCCTGGTGTGTGTGTGTGTGTGTGTGTGTGTGTGTGTGTGTGTGATGACCTGCATTTTGGGGTCAGAAAACAATTTACAGGAGTCGGTTCTCTCTGTCTATCATGTGAGTTTCCAGAAATCAAATCAGTTTCTTGGCAGCAAGAGGGTTTACCCACTGAACCTTCTTTTGGGCACAAACAGATTGCTCTTGTACCATGTCTTTGACAAAGAGAATGCATTTGCTGGTGAGCCATTGTGGTTGCTTGGATGAAATTGGCTCCAATAGGTTCATATGCTTGAATACTTGCTCTCCAGTTGGTTGGAAATATTTGAGAAGGATTAGTAGGTGTGGCCTTTGTTGGATGAGGTGTGTAATAGGTGGCTGGTTTTTGATGTTTGAAAAGCCCATGAGCTCCCAGCTAGCTCTCCCTGCCTCCCACTTTTAAATAAGAATGTGAGCTGTCAGCTACTGCTCCAGTGTCTGCCTGCCCGCCTGCTGCCATGCCTCACACTGTGGTGCTCATGGCCTCCAACCCTTTGAAACTGTAAGCCCCAATAAACTCTTCTCTTAATTTCATTGGTTGTCATGTATTATCACAGCAATAGAAAAATAACTAAGACAACAGTGGAACAAAGAAACATATGAGGAAAATAACAAAAGTAGAATACTTTGGTAAATATTCAAGAGAGAATGAGCAGTGGTTTGTGTATTAAGCAGATATGAGAGAAGGTTGGAAAACTTCAATTGTTAGCTTACATTGAAAGTGTTAGGAACTGGATTTTTACTCTCCAGGTAAGGAGGAGTAAAGGAGGACAATTCTGAACCAGAAAAGTGGTTGTCTCCGAAAGATTAATCTGACATTTCTGTGTAAAAGTGGATTAGAGAAAAGAAGAGAGGAGGTCAGTTTAACACCTGCTGCCATAATCCAGGGAAAAGGTATAGAAAATTTGTGAAAGGCAGCTAGGAGCATAGGGAACAAGAGGGGCGTTTGATGCAGAATGCTCTCATTACAGTTGCGAAGTGCTACAGAGTCTAACTACTGAAGATTAGACAGCACTTAGCAACAATAACAGAGCAGTCCACAATCGACTATTTTAATAAGAATGTAAAGGTTTCAAAAAGCCCTAAATAGTTAGACATAAAAGACAACATACTGTTTGGGAGGCACCCATCAGAATATGACTGAAATCTATTCTCTGTTTACATTCACCTCCTACAAACATCCACAGGGCTGCCAAATGAAAAGAGATGACTGGCAATCAGTGTTGTGGAAATAACTCAATTTTTCCCTTTAAATTTAAGCAGTCTCCTGGGGAAGGTCACAGGTGCCACAATGTTTTGAATGAGATTCTTCTTTTATTATAAATTATAAAAGAATGTGATGAAAAGAAACCAAACAATAAAAACCTGTTCTAAAAGATGTTGCGGAAGGTAGGAAGAATCATTTTTTGAAGTGGAAGCACCTTTGGGTCTGTCTACCTAACCCATAGGATCGATCATAGCATCTTTGAAGTGGTATATAGGCCTTGCATATCCTCATGGTGTAATTCATTGGTAGTTCCACTTTTCTAATGGCTTAGATGATTAGTAAAATGAATGGAAATGCTAATACTGCACCGAACTGTAAAGGGTCTTAAACAAGTTTGTTGATAAGAAATATGTGGCACCCTTTGTGTTACAGGCATTATCTATTATAACACTAATAGAAACATATAGGTATGCTCATTGGTACACATAATTCAAAATATAATTATATAATGTGTCATACATGATATAGATATGAAAACATCACCATTAAAGGAATTAATATACCCTCCCTCGAGCTTCCTGTGTCCCCCTTTTGTAACTCTTTCCTCCCACTTATTCCTTTGTCAAGCAGTCACTTATCTGTTCTTCATCAGATCACTATGCATTTCTAGGAACTTCCTGTGAGTGGAATTATACATTATGTATGCTCTTCTTTCCCTTGCAGAGATTCACATTTCCATTTGGTGTCATTTCCCCACTGCTTGAATTTCCTTTATCGGTTTTTATAGCACAAGTCAGATCTGATGACCTCTTTCAGAATTTTATGTTTCAGAAAGAATGACTCTGAACATTCAGGAGACTAAGGGAGGAGAATCTTGAGCTTCAGCCCAGCCTGGGCTACATTGCAAGAACCTGTCTCAAAGGGGAAAAAAATTTTGGTTTGAGAAAGTTTTTTTTATTACGTCTTTTATTTTTGAGATTATAATATAACTACATCATTTCCTCTTTTCTTTTGTTCCAAATATCCCATATGCCTTTCTTTGCTCTCTAGTTCATGGCCTCTTTTTCATTAATTGTGATTACATGCATATATGTATATACAGCTTACTCGGTGTGTAATGTGACTTGTGTGTCTGTTTTCAGGGATGACCACTTTGTATTACATAACCAACTGGTGGAGAGGCACACTTTTTAATTCTTATAAATAATGCCCTTGAGCTTTGTTTTGAGATGAAAGTATGAAGTGTGGGAAATCTTTGTCCTTTTAAAGGTTACTTTCTAAACACTGTTAGAATGACCAAATCAAGCCTAGGGCTAATTTTTCTTCACTATTAAGGCAAAACCTTTCTGATTACCTAGTACTCTATTATGTATGAGTATTTGTCCTCTGTCTGGTGGAGAAATAAGCTATTTCCAGACCTGTGTGAGCTCTGGAGATTGCGACTTCTAAGTTTCAGATGCTTTCCACTTATACACATTACTATCCCAATAAATTATTGTGTCAGTCTCTGAAGATCTCTTCTACAGATCTCTTATGTTCTTTCCCTGAGTAGATTCCTTCCTTCTGATATTCTGTATTATGAATTCTGTTTACCATACAAAATCCCAGGGAAGAACAGCCAGCTGTAGCTAAATTTCCCATTCTTCACTAAGGCCTAGAAAGTGCTGGACAATCACGGGGGCCAGGTCATTTAATTGTCTCCCAATGCTCGCTGTCATCAGTTTACAGTATCTTAAACACTGTTGTTTCATGTGTATACTTTTTATTCCCAAGACAGGGTTTCTCTGTGTATCCCTGGCTGTCTTGGAACTCTGTAGATCATGCTGGCTTTGGACTCAGAGATCTGCCTGCCTCCATCTCCCAAGTGAAGAGATTAAAGGCGTGTGCTACCGCCACCACTTGGCATGTGTTTACTTTTGAAGGAAGAAGATACATGCTTAACAAGGAACAAAATCTATACTGGGCATTACTCAGCAGAATAGAAGAAAGCTCAATAGCTTTGCAAATCTGACTTCCTAGATTTAAGTTCTGACTGCCATTTGCACTCTACCCCCAGCCCCACCCCCGGGGTAGCCTGGGGAACCCCTCATAAGGCAGCCAGCTGAAGTTCCCAAACTACATTTTTGGACAAAGCAGTATATTTCCTTGAGTGAGGCTTCCAAGTTTTAAAAAAGGCAAGAGATAGAGATAGCATCATCAAATTGGGTCCTCACAGCATCCATCAAACACCAACTGGGGAAGGCGAGCCTGTCAGCTCTAGTTCCCAGTTGAGGTTTGTCTCCACAGATGAGCTTTCTATGGCTGAAATTCTAGACCCTCTTTCCCACTGTGCATATTTTATATCTTGGGATAAATAATAGCAACATCTGCTGGAAATGATTTACCTTCTAGCTGCTTTCAAGGGTACAGTGCTATTTGCTCTTTGACTATTTGGCAGTTCTTTTCCCCTCCCTGTCACAGAGCGGAAGTGGGCAGCCCAGCCCCACACAAGAGGCTTTGAAGGACATTTTGAGACACATAGAGTTGTGTCTGAAACGGGGGTGGGGGTGGGCAGGCAACTCCATTTCCAGTCCTATCTTCTCAATAAATTCAAACGACACATGACAACTTACCAATGCAGTGTACGTTACAAAATGAGATTGTAATCTAAGTCTTTTGATGATTCACCTGATTCACCTTGATACCAGTGAGAGAGAATTTGGTATTGTGTGCTCACTTGGAACTACTCAAACCATCTCTAAGACACTGAACTTGGAAAAGTTCGTAAAGTTGTTGTCTTACTAGTCTCTTCTCCCTTCCCCCACTCCCCCTTTAATTTAGGTTACCGAATACGCCTGGGCTCTAGTACTGACAAGAAGGACACAGGCCGGCTTCACGTTGACTTTGCCCAGGCTCGGGATGACTTGTATGAGTGGGAGTGCAAACAGCGTATGCTAGCAAGAGAGGAGCGGCACCGTAGACGGATGGAGGAAGAAAGAATGCGTCCACCATCCCCGCCCCCAGTGGTCCACTATTCAGATCATGAATGCAGCATTGTTGCTGAAAAACTGAAAGGTATAGGAGGCATTCAAGCTCCATGATTGAGTGGACTTTCTTTTTCTTGGGAAATTGTAATAAATATCACTGTGCTGTTTAGAGTTACCCTGTCAATTTCTAGCTAATAGGTCCTAGCATTTCTTATATGGGAGGCTTGCTGATAGTACCAAGTAACTCCAGAACCAGGAAGTTTGTCCTATGTCTCTGTTTCTTCATTGTCTCAATGGTTGGCACTTTGCTATCCAGACATCAGATAATTAAAAAGAAATATTTTCCTCCTTACCACACTAGAAAATTTGAGGTGTGATTCATAGTTTAGAACCTACATGTGCCCTCTTTCATACTGGGTACTAGTGAGATTTTAATTTTTAATCCGTGAGTACGTTAGCATGATAGAACTGGATATGGCCCTGTGACATTCCAGTGAGGCCCTCATTTTAAAGATTTCAAAAGGAGCTGGTATAGTTGGGCATGCTTGTAATCGCAACACTCTGGAGGCTGAGGCAGGATGATCACCAAGAATTGCAGGCCAGCATGAGTTATAGAATGAACTCCTATCTCAAAATAAATTGACCAAAATAAAACCAAGATGACAGAATGGAAGCCCAGAAATTAGTCACCATGTATATACATTGATTTACCTTGAAGACTTAGCTGCCACCCAAGAAAAGAAGTCTTTGTCATTGTTAAAAGCCAAGTTATTCCACAAAGCAACTATGGAAATTTCTATATATTGGTAAGCCAAACTCCTTTTTCTTTAGTTTTGCTTCCTGTTCTTACTTGATTCTTAGCATCACTTTGCTAATTTGACATTAATCACATTGCCTGTTCTCTTGTCTTAGTGACTCAGATCCAGTCTCGCATTTTCTGAGTACAGTTGATGTTACTGTATGAATGCTGCTGCCCCATTGATCTTACTGATGCCACTGACCCAGCTCTAATGCTATGAATTTTCCCTGCTTCTGTGCTTTTATTTCAGCAAGAGCCCACTAATTCTACTTTCTAAATAAATAGGTCACACTTGCCAAACTTGTTTACATCATATTTAATAAGTCTCTTTGGATTGATTTTGACTTTCTGCAAGGGAAAAACAGAGAGCATAGCATGCAGAACTGAACAGAAATAATGCTACATTTTGAAGCAGAAAAGCTTTTGTATTGGTGAGATGCCAGTTCTAAGACGTGTCTATTCACATGACACCAAACAAGACACTTTACATTAGAAAAAAAAGAAAAAGAAAAAGAATTTGCTGTTTGCATGGCCCTCAAGAGAAGCACAAGCTGCATCGACATAAAAGACTGCATCCAAGTAATGAAAAGCTTCTACATGGGGAAGAGTCATCTACCATTGTGTCTGTACTGAAAAACTAAAGGGCAGGGGGCAAGAAAATAAATTGTAGAGCAAGATATTTCTACTAGACTAAGAGCTTCTAGCCAGAGAGGGATGTGAAGCTCCAGAAGGTGGCTTCAATTAAATGCTGTAAGAGTCTGTCTTGTAAGTCCCTCAGAACAGAATATATAAGTATCTTGCTGGGGAAGGAGGCCTAGAAGGTATGGAAGAGCTGTGCTGCTCTGTTAACATTACAGGATGGCTCCTGGTGAACTGAAAAAAAATCTACTTGAAAGCAAGAGCAAAGGATGTGAGGACACATGGAAATAGAAGGATCAAAATAGATCCTGGCTGGAACTGAGTGGATGGATGAGGAGCTAAGGATTCCAGAGTGCTATTATAAAAGGTTGAGGATGTAAATGTTTGTACATAGAGAACTACACACTGAACTCTTTTCTTAGGCCTTTCTGTAACTGTAATTCCATGTGTCCAGGATAAAGGTACTGACAGCAACTTACATGCAACATCTTCAATGGCTTTTCCTTATTAAAATGGAAGATTATAGAATTGTGAAATTCCCTCATTATTAATTCCCCACCGTGTGTGTGTGTGTGTGTGTGTGTGTGTGTGCATGCAGCCTGCATGCTTGTGTGCCTGTCTCTCTTCCTCTCCTCTCTCTCCCCATCTCCCTACCTCCCTTTCTCAAATAATCAGATAAATTAAGAAATTTTCAATACATGAGTACTATCATAGTATAAACATGTTTCTTTGAGGGAGTGTGTGTGCATGAGTGCATGCATGTATGTGTGTGCAGAGTGTGTGTGTTTACTGAGGATGGAAACTAGGACCTCACACACTGAGTTACAGCCCCAGAAATTTTAGGAAGGAAAGACACCACCCTCTTTCTGAAGCTCTTCATAAGCCATTCACTGTCTTCCTAGAGTTTCGTTCTTTCTTTATTCCTACCTGCTGCCTGTGTGTGCTTGTGTGTCCATGTGAGGTTCCTTGCCTTCATTAATTCATATACCTGTAACTGCCAACACCCCTGATGACCTCCTGCCAGGATATTGTGAAGACAGATTGAGCCTTGGTCACTGTCAGTAGTTTCCAAAATAAACTCTTTTTTGTTTCAGATGATTCCAAATTCTCAGAAGCTGTGCAGACATTGCTCACCTGGATAGAGAGAGGAGAAGTGAACCGCCGAAGTGCCAACCACTTCTATTCCATGATCCAGTCAGCCAACAGCCATGTCCGCCGCCTGGTGAATGAGAAAGCTGCCCATGAGAAAGAGATGGAAGAAGCAAAAGAGAAGTTCAAGCAGGCCCTTTCTGGGATTCTTATTCAATGTAAGTGGGAGTTAACGTTCTGCTGGAAGGCTGAAAGTGTCCTTCGCTTACTCACCGCTTGCCTTACACAGGACCCAAGGCCCGTAAAGCTATGTATTTCAAGTGGCTAGGCGATCTTCCTAGCTGCTTTGTTACTCTCCTTTTATCAGTGGCTCTCGGCCTTCCTAATGCTGCAACCCCTTAGTATAGTTCCTTATGTTATGCTGACCCCCACCATAAAATTCTTTTTATTGCTACTTCATGACTGTAATTCTGCTGTTGTTATGAATTGTAATATAAATATCTGATATGGGACCCCTGTGAAAGGGTCACTCAGTTCCCCAAAGGGGTCACGATACACATGTTGAGAACCAGTACCTTATATTGTCAAATGCCATGGCTCTGATATCACAGAATACATGATCGCACCCCCTGTTTGCGTTTTCTCTGGTTTAGCTTCTTGAGCGAAAAGCACTGGGATGTAGATCGGTCACAGCTCATCCTTTTACAACCCTGGTCCTCAGTAGAGAATTAGATATTTTATTGCTAAAGTTAGAATATGATGTTAGGATTTTATGGCAGTGTTTCTTCAGATTTACATGATTACCATCATGGAATATGCTATTTAGGAACTTGTGGTAAGAAATAAGATTATATTCCCAAGATGATTGCATAAAAAATAAATTTGCTGCTTCTATATTTTCAATTTAGTTTTCTCCCATTATCTTCACTAGATATGATAGACACCATAGAGGTGAGAAGCCATTGAAATGGCCATTTTTAAAAGTAATACCACTTCAGATCTATGCAGGTTCTCTTCAATAAGATAGATCAGATAAACACTCCAGTAATTTTTTCTTGTTGTTGTTCACCATGTAACAAAATTATATGATCACTTCTTTTCAATAAAGAGCAATATTCACCTTAAGAACCGGGGCAGTTTTATGATTTTGCTTTTAAACCATTATGGCCCACTCTTCCTATACTTTCCTCTCCATTCTTGACTCATATATAATTGGGATTAAGGAGTGTCTCCACTTTTACTCATATTTTGAAAGTATATTTAGATATAAAATCCAAGATGGGAAAGTGTATATCTTCAGGATTTCAGAATGAGTAGAAAAAGAAAGCCGCAAGAATTGTGAGACTCTTTAACTCGTTAGAACACAGTGAAAACATGACTGTAAAAAAAAAAAAAAAAAAAAAAAACAAAAAAACCTAATCCTATTTCTGGATTTTCTTCTTGCTGTGAGAAACAGGGCTTCTTCTGCTTTTGTTTCTCCCAAAAGATTCATATCCAGGCTTCTTGAGTCAGAGAGATGGTCCAACAAGGTAGCAACTTGTCTGAGCCACAGAGCCCACATGGTGTAATGAGAAGACTGCCTATCACAGATTGCCCTCCCCCCCTCTCTCCCTCTCTCTATCTCATACACACACACACATACACACACACACACGCACACACACGCACACACACGCACACACGCACACACATACGCACATGCACACACGCACACACATGCACACACATACACACACACACGTGCACATACACACGCACACACACATACACACACGCGCGCACACACATACACACGCGCACACACATACACACACGCACACACACATACACACACACGCACACACACGCACACATACACATACACACACATACACGCACATGCACACACGCACACACATACACACACATACACACACACATACACACACGCACATACACACACATACACACACGCGCGCACACATACACACACGCACACACACACATACACACACATACACATGCACACACGCACACACACATACGCACACACGCACACACACATACGCACACATGCACACACACCTACACGCACACACGTACACACACATACACGCACACACGCACACACATACACACACACACACACAGTAGCAGAAAACTCCCAAAGATTTGTGTGTGTTTCTCCCTTTAACATTTTAAGTGGCCTTGAAAGGTATTCTTTACGATTGCTTTCACAAAGAGTTCTTTCATAATTTTTTTCTCTAGTCAACAAACCTATGTAGGTATACTTAAAATAGACTCAACCATTTTATATTTTGATTTAATGCTTCTGGTCAAACATATCTTAGAATAGTGAAAACCAAATTTTCCTTGAAGTTAAGTGTTCTATTTTATTTCAGAAGGCTACATATAATTAAAGAAGACAGTGAATATGAGGAACACACATCATATGTATGTATGAAAATGTTATAACGAAACGCATTGTTTTATGCATTTTCAAATTAATTTACAATAATATTAAATAAATTTTAAAAGTGACCCAGTAGTATAGTTCATAGTACCCAACTAAAATTTGAACCTAAAACACATTTATTTTGACTCTTGCTCTTTTTTTTTTTAACCTAAATGAATACACTATTTTTGTATTAAAAGCTTTGCTCATTATCTCACCCAAACTGTACATTGGTGTTTCTTTCTTTGAGTCTCTTTTGAAATCGTAGTTCCTGTTTTAATTTGAATGTAAACTACCCCATAGGCTCATGTGTTTGAACTCTTGGTCTCCAGTTGTTGGTGCTATTTTGAAGGTTGTGGAAATTTTAGGAGATACAGCCTCACTGGAGGCAGAAGATCACTAAGAGCATCTGTGAGGTTTTGTGGTCCTCCTCCACTTCCTGTCTGCTCTGTGCTTCCTGACTGATACACACAGACCACCTCACATTTTTTCCACCATGCCTTCCCTTCCATTAATTAGAGGTATCCCTTCTTAAATGGTGAACCAAATTAGACCCTTCCTTCCTTATGTTGCTTCTTGTCAGAATTTATCACAGCCATGAGAAAAGTAACCAATAAAGTGCCTTGACCCAGGTAATCTTATCCATGTATACTCACAGCCTGGTTTGTGTCATCACAACTTAATGAAACAAGCCTCATGTTTCTCTTCATTTTTTTCTCTCTCTTTCCATTCCTGGGTGACGATTTGGCCTGATCTGACTGCTGATTTGATACTGCAGTTGAGCAGATAGTAGCTGTGTACCATTCTGCTTCCAAACAGAAGGCATGGGACCACTTCACAAAAGCCCAGCGTAAAAACATCAGTGTTTGGTGCAAACAAGCTGAGGTTGGTAACTTTCTACTCTGGTAGCTCCTTTAGGGGACCGTTTCCTTCCTTAACAAGTTATTGATTTGGAGTTTAACAAGAATTAAATAGTGCCAAGCTCCCATGGTCTCAACAAGGCCCTAATGAAACACTGAAATGTGTTCTATACCCTGTCAACATCCAGACCACCTGCTGTCAGAAGGGTAATAAATGTGCACATGTTGTCTTAAATGCATCCTGCTGGATAGAAATCTTCGTAGTGAAAATGCACCTGGGATAATTGTAAGTTTACTTCTCCACACTAGCTAGTCTTGAGTACAATAATAATTACTGACCTATGCTTTTAGCATTAGTAATATTAGGGCTGCCTTCCATTTATTAGAGTGCATTGACAGTTGAGTCTGGAAGCTGTCTGCTGGTACTTGGAGCAAAGAAATTGCTGAGCTTCCTTTTTCAGATCTGTCCAGCTGTCTGGGGAAGTGGGAAATTTAAATGGAAAAAAGGAGTGTGATTTCAGATCAAGGTCAACACATACTCTTCTGCTTTGGGCTCAAGTAAATCTGTAGCATAACACTACAATATGTGTAATATGATTAGGTTACTAGCCTGAATCTAAAGTTAAAGCACAGCAAGGCTTGTTTCCAATGAGCTTGTGGAAATGGTTTCATAGGTATCACAGGTTCTTCTGTGCCTGTAGGTTCTCCTTGCCTGGGCCTGAGTATTTTTGTTTATAAATATAGCAACTTTTCCAACTTCATCTATGGTTTATTTGGCCATTTTGGTTCTCGAGTTCCTGTTTCTCTTTTTCCATGCTGATAATTGCACTTAGGGCATTGTACATTCTAGACAGACACTGTTCCATGGAGCTGCAGCCTCTGTACCCAACAATTTGCACTGGTTCTCACCTAAGTGTAGTACAAGCTGTTTAGGGACTGAGAGTCTAACAAGAATCTAAAGTATCAGCTTCTGTTATGTTTGTAGTTTAGTGAATAGAGTAAGTTATTCAGCATCTCTTGATGCCTATTTCTTTATCTGTTAATTGGTGTTGATAATAATGAAACCAAGCTTATAAGATTAAATGTTTAAGAAATACATAAGCAGTTTGAAAATGTAAATGGTGTATTTCAATTTATTATTACATAACTCAATACAGGATAATGAGTAGGTATAGAATCCATATTTTCCATGTAATAAAAAAACTGAAATGCAGAAATGTTAAATGATTTCACAAAATTATACAAGTAGGAAGTATAGTTGACATTATTCTCCTCTGAGCTCTGCTACAGACTTCAATGTCGTTTTGAACAAGTCATCTCATCTCTAGCCTTTCAAATGAAAGCAATATTCTCTCCACACTGCCCTTCTGTGAATAAGTAAGCAATATGTATGGGAACAGTTTAAAACCTCAACAAACATTTAAGGAAAAAGTCCTAAACTTGTATTGATTTTTGATCCCTGGCATCATGTTGGCACTCAAACATTTTCAATCTTGGAAACATTTTAGATTCTGGATTTGGTGGATTAGTAATTCTTAACCTGCATTAAATGTTCCCTTCTCTTTAATATACATAAGCCTGCATACATTTTAGAAGTTCTAAGATCTAAGCAGTCCAGAATTTTTAAGGAAAGGCCTGCCAGTGCAGAGAAGGAAGGGACTACTTCCAGAGGTAATAACCACCAGGCAATAAAATATCCCCCAAAGTAGATGTGGTAGCTCACACTTGTAATTAATTTCCAGCAGGCTGAAGAAGGAGGATCATGCATTTAGTGCCATCCTAAACTATACAGTGGACCCTTAGCTCAAAAAAGTTCCCATTAAGGCTCTGCATATACCAAGCCCGACTACCTAGGGAGTATATACTTTACGCTTAAGTTAAATTAGGGCCATAATAAAGATGGCTGTTGTAGTGAACTGGACATTTCTCTAGATCTCTAGACAACTGCGAATCCTAGACCCCCATTATACAGTAATGTAAAGCCTCCTGGCAGGGGGATGGTAATAAGATACATGGACATCATGATTTGCCAAGAGCTATCTGTTCCGTCTATGCCTTATTGACTGAACCTGCTTCCTGTGTATTTGACTGGGTTAAATCAAGGCCCACCTTCCTCAGTCTTGGTACCTAAAACTACTACTGATGATAGTGAGACATAGCTAGCTCATGACTTTCCTCTGATTTTACATTCAACATTGAGACGAATCTCATGGCCTTCCTTTAAGTTTACCTTCCCTAAACCCCATAGAGTTCTTCCACTTCATATTGCTATCTCTTGACACTGAGAAGACTTAAAAGATGTATCGTATTGGAAATGCAAAAAGCAATCCTCTTAAGATGGGGATGCCTATTGGCACCACACTGAAAATCAGAACAACTCAAAAAGTCAGGTGTTATGACAAGTTCTTTCCGGTTGCCTCAGAGAACAAATCAGCTGGTGAAAACCTCATGTCACATGGTACCTGTTCCTTGTCTCACTGTCATGCATCTGCCAGTATTCTTATTCTTCTGAGTGAGGAATAGAGAGATGATGAACTTAGAAAAAAGCCCATCTTTGAGAAAATTAGATGCTGTGAGAGAACATGCCAGGCTGGCTAGTTTGGTAATGAGTCTTTTTAATGGTTTTTACTTTCATGGTTTGGATACTGGAAATGACACAGAAAAAAAGATGCTAAGAGAGGGCTGAAGACCCTCCTCTTACTGTAAGTGCTGCCTACAGTCACTGATGCATTTACTATGGGGACTCTTTTCTACAGAATCCTTTGAAAATCTGTGTTTTGAGCAAACTGACCTATAGCAGTTGCTACCCTTGGATAATATATAAAAACTAGAATCATAGCCATAAACATTAAGAAGATAGCCTCTTACAGCCTTTATCATAGAAGATTTTACACCATTGAGCTTAAAGCAAAGGGCTTTGATAAACATTAAGAAGATAGCCTCTTGCAGCCTTTATCATAGAAGATTTTACACCATTGAGCTTAAAGCAAAGGGCTTTGATGATTGTAACTGACAAAATAACCTTTTCCATTTACTTCCATTTCATACTCTGCAGAATATTTGTGGATGGATAATGAAGTCGTCTGTGTACCCTTGTTTTAGTACTCACTCGCATTAAGACTGGTTGTTGGCTTTCGGCCATCCAAAAGCATACTAACCCAATTTTACATCAACATAATTTGTATTTCCATTATTTACCATACAAGAGACAAACCTGTGTTTGTGAGTTGCTTCATTTTATTAAGTGATATCTCAGAGTCAAATTGTTATGTTGAGCGTACAAGCCACTTATTTCCCTAGCCTCTGTTCTTTCCCATTCCCTCCTGACTCCTTTCCTACCATAGTTCTTGTTAATACTGGAAAAAAATACAGGTTAGTAGAATCTGGTTACACATTTAATAAGGAGTGTTGATATTCTGGTAATAATGTTCCTATCATAAAACATGAGTAAGATCAATTTAAGTCCACATAAATTTTTCTGAAACTGTAGTTAAATAATTAACGTGTAAAGATTTATGATTTGCTTACTTTGTAATAAATCAAAGATGTCAGCTGGTACAAAGTGATTCTTTGCATGTGTTTCTCTGGTTTGTTTGCTTCTATATGAAAGCACATTTTGTTCTCCACTGTGAAGCAGTGGAAATTTCTAAGTTTCAGAAAATGTCTCTACCATTAGAGAAGACTTAAAGTCAATACAGTGCCGTTCCAGAAGTCCCTAGTCATTCATTGTTGAAATCAAATGTAGCAAAGGGGGTGGCATGGGAACTTTAGGGCCACTTATTTTTAAAAAGTGTTCTGTCAGGGACATGTCTCAGAAGATTTCATCTCATGATTAACATGGAAATTACTGACCGTGTTGTTGCATGCCATTCCCATATTTTGGTTGCAGTGCTGTATCAAGATGTCAGAAGGAGAAATGGATACAGCTATTACTTGTGATGCTGTACTTCAGTGGCTAGGAATCCACTCCCTACCCTATCCTATGGCTAAGCTATTTAGAATACCATTTTGGGTGCATACCACCTTGTAGTCCTTTACTCTAAAAGTATTTGTAAGGATTTCTTTCTCAAAGCTTTTCTGGTCTGCCAGAAAGTAGATGCAGAGTACTTTAATGGTAAGGGTTTCCAAAAATTAACAGTCTCACTTTTCTTAGAAGTGCGCTGTCATTTGCCAAAGGGGCCTTCTCAATTTTCTTTAATATGGTACCCCATAGCCTCTGCTACTCTCTTTGCTTCTATTCCAATTGTGTGACTTAGTAATGGGTATTTGTAGAAAAATAATGAGATGAACCTTGGGGTTTTCATAGCAAAAGTTTGTATAGTGGACAGAGCAGTCCTCTGAGTAACTTAGAAAACAAACTTTCCCTGAGTTTTTCTTATTCTCATTTTATATTTAGCTAAAATAACTGATGGTTCTTATCTATGAGGTATTTTGAAGCATTTAGGTAAACATTGCCCTTAAGTATATTTCTAGGAGCATTTAAAACTGTAAAAGATCTCTAGGTAAGACATATCATGTAGTTTTAGCCTTTGTAGTTCTGAGATTGTAAGCTGTTTTGTCAAACTGGAAGCAAAAGGATGCTTTGTTGATGCTGGAAAGCTCCAGGATCTGTCTTAGTTTTAAGACCTTGCTGCCCTGGGATAGTTTCCTAGAATGAACACAATTTACTTTCCTGAGAAATGTAATACCTTTATCAGTGTTAGTGACATGTGTGTGAGTTGAGAGTTGGTCTCTGATTATACTCTGTGACAGCCTATGTTTTTATTAGAAATCTAGAAAGCCACAGCTTTTTCTGATGCAGTAAACTGTACAATATTTGAATTTGCCAGTGTCAAACTTTGTTATAATCACCTTCCCATAACAGCTCTGATGATACCTGAAACTAAATCTTATGAGGTAGAGTGCATTCAGAGGAATGAGAAATTCCCTCATTGTTCTTCATGCAATGAGTCTGAATAAGACATGGCATATCTTTTTCATAACACAGCCCTGTAAAGTTCATTTACCACAAGCAAGCCATTATTTTCTTCTATTTTAAGTAAAGTCCCTGCAGTACAGAGGTACTATATTAGCATCTGATTTTTCTGCTACTTCTTAAGAATTAGTAATGATACTAAATAACTCACTTTTTAAAGAGTCATTCATTTAGTGTTAATGAAAACTTATCTGGAATTAGAGATCATTTTCCCTGATAAAGGAATTATAAAGGAAGATATTAGGATAGTGACTAACTATAGCATTGTTAACAAATCCATTTGAAGGCCAGACATGGTGATGCATGGCTTTAATCACAGCACTCAGAGGGCAGAGGCAAGAGGATCTCTCTGAGTTCGAGGCCAGCCTGGTATATAGAGAAAGTCCCAGGGCAGCCAGGACTACTTAGTGAGACCTTGACTCAAAAAAGAAAACAAAAGATAAGAAGAAAGAAATCAATTTGAAATACACATATTGCCATATTGCTTATAAATTGGATGGTTTGCACCAGATGGCTTTAGATATTTCCTGTGTTACAACCCAGTAGGAGTTCTCAGCTTAAAACCTAGGAAATTAAGAACAATCAAGTGATGTCTAAATTATTTCAAATTGCTCTAACATGTGTAGCTCTCATTCTTACTTGTTTTGGTATTGTGTGTGTGTGTGTGTGTGTGTGTGTGTGTGTGTGTGTGTGTGTGTGTTCATATGTATGTGTATTTATAGGTGAGGGTGTATGCGATCACAAGCATATATTTGACAACCAGAGAACCACATTGAATGTCTTTCTAAACCGTTACTACCATCATTTTTTTTGAGATAGTGTCTCACTGAACCTGGAGCTTGCTGACTCAGCTATACTGGCTGGCTAGGAAACCACAGGATCCTTCTGTCTCTACCTCCCCAACACTGGGATTACCCATTGCACCAATTCCTCATATTTGCATGGCAATAACTTTACTAGTTGAGCTATTCCCCTAGCCTCTCTTTCCTAAATTTATAAAGAAACCTTCTCCAGTGTGAGCTTGATCATTCTCTGGGATCATCATGACTTCCACAGCTTCTTTTCAGCCTGGAAGAACTTTATTCAGCATGTCCTATACTGTAGCTCTTTTGATGATGACTTAATTGCATTTACTTTTTCTCCAAATGTAAAATTCTGAATAGGGAGACATTTTATTTTTTCCACAAACATTAATGAAATTGTTTCACTGTGGATTTTCCTCTCTGTAATGTAGCATTGTCCTCTATCTACTTTGTGTGAGTTTTTCACTTTCTTTCATTTCCTGTACTCAGATTATGATATCACTAGAAATACTTTTTCACAATAAACCCTGCCTTGGGTTCACTGAGCTCTTTGGATAAGTGGCTTAATGCCCTTTGTCAAATTTAAGAAATTATTGGCAAGTATTTCTTCAAATATTTTTATTCCCTTACTCTATTTCTGGAATTTAGTTGCATGGAGGTTAAACTTTGATATCCAATCCCACAATTAACTGAGGTTCTGTTAATATCCATCCAACTCTTTAAGCTGAGTAGTGTATCCTACTTCTCTCTCCATTCACTGCCCCCCACCACTTCCCATGTGCTCTGGGGGACTTGTCCCTTCCCCCTTCTGTGAGGAACTTTATATGAATCTCTTAGAATATGAAAGAGAAGGGGAGGAGAGGAAAGCACATGCGCCTAGGGAGATTGAGCCAGGGTAGGAATAGAAGACAAGAGAAAGAGAGAGAGGTAGAGAGAGAGAGAGAGGGAGAGAGAGAGAGAACATGAAAGAGGGAGCCATTATTGGTTTGAAGAGAAAACTGAACCTAAAGAAAGGTCCAGAGCCCTACAAGACTGCCACCAACTAACAATTTGAGCAACCATGGAAAGGCTACCATAAATGCCCTTCCCGGATAGTGAGATCGATATCTAACTTATCCACCATCATGGAGCCCTCATCTAATACCTGTTAGAAACAAAAGCAAACACCCATACATAAACACTGAGTTGAACTAGAATCCAGATGCAGATGGAGAGGACAAGACCACGTTGCAGAAACACATAGAGACAGATGACCTGAACAAGGAGGAGCTAATGGGCCCCCAGACTGATAGCTGGGAATCCAGCATGGGACTGACTCAGACCCCCTGAATATGTGTCTCAGTTAGAAGGCCTGAGTAGTCTAAGGGAGCTCAGACTGTGGAACCAAGATGGATTATATCCTGGTGCACAAAAGGACCTTGTGGACACATCCCCCATGGAGGAACACTCCCTTAACCTAGAGACAGGAGAGAAGTCCTAGTCCCTACTTCAAATGACTTGATAGATTTACATGACCCCACCTGAATGGCATTGCCCTACATGTGGAATTGGGGTGGGGGAATGGGAGGGGAAGGTGGTCAGGGTGTATGTGAGGGGGGAGAGAAGGTAAGAGGGAGGGAGGGAGGGGAGGAGAGGGAACTGGGATCGACATATAAAATAAAAAAGCTGGGTAGTGTATTGTGTAGTGTTCTGCCAGTAGCCTTTAAGTAGCCTCATACACAGCACCTCTTATAGGACATCTTTCTCTGAACAGCTTTCCTCACACCCAGATGTATTTCTGGAAAGGTTTACACAATGGATTTCAATCCATTTCTGATGAATTAACTTAGTTTTGTGAGTCATAAAAGTGTAGTGTTCAACAAGAGCTACTTAGCCTTGGGTTAGTATGCCTGCGTGTGTGTGTGTGTGTGTGTGTGTGTGTGTGTGTGTGTGCTTACGCACACATGTGCGTTTCTTGTTCATATCACATCTTAGGTATGCTAGCTGTTCTTGTATGTGCTGTTTTCTTATTTTGTAGTGATTTTTATCACCATCTAATCAACCCCTCATTATTATACTTTCTATGGTAAAAAAAAAATTCTTCAAATTAAGTATTTCTTGATTAAATTTTTGTTATGCTGATTGAATTCTGTCACCAAATGTTAAAAATTCATTTCATTAACATTTTTACTGTACAAGGATATGTGGAAGGAAATGGCAATAACATCATAAAGGTCTACAATAAGAATTTTTGTTTAATGTTGAAAATAAAGGAACTTTTCATTTCTTAGTTCATTACTTCAAGACAAAAGAACTCTTGTCTTCTTTTGTTTTAATGTAAATGAATCTGTGGATTATTTTTAAAGTATGTGAACTTCTGATGAGATTCCCTAACATTTTTTCTATATGAACACAATTCCTTTATACAAGGAGGGTAGTTACATAGCTACTTTATTTATTTACTGAGTACCACAACTGGATCATTTCAGGGTTGGTCTCCATTTATTGTTCTATTTATGGAAAGTGTAATCTCAACCTAGTTCCTGAGATGTTCAGTGATTTTGGTGATTATCCTAGATATGAATATTATAGTGTAATAATTACAGACTCTGATATGTTCTTCCCAAATATTCACTTTATATTCTTGCCCTTAAGTGATCATTTTAATTACTTGTATTCAAGCTAGAGGTTTCTATATGTTAGACAGCAGTTTCAATAACAGCTTAACTCCTTTAGCCTTAGCTAGGCTGCTTGCACTCTTGGTTGAGAGATCAGGCAAAACTTGAAAAGAGTTTATATACACAGTGTAAAGAATCTCTGTGTGTGTGTGTGTGTGTGTGTGTGTGTGTGTGTTTTCCTCTCTCCCTTCGCCTTCCCTTCCTCCATGTTGTCCTTTACCCATACACATATTTCTCCTTTCTAACATCCCCTCCTTACTCTCCAGTGACTGTTTTCCACTAACCACTCTCTTGAAATTGTTTAGACCACAGAGGCTGGGTTTTCTACTAGACATCTAGCTACCCTGTGACTAATTCTGATCTGCTCTTAAACAAAAGACTTTATAAAAACTGGGAAATGTGTCCACAAGTGTTTTTGCTTCTTCCAAATGCCAATTCTTTTTCATAATATGCCTGCATTTGTTCTCTGTCCAACGACATCAAATAGTTATGTAGTTTGTTTTGTCCAAACATTATAGTTATTGCCCATGAGAGAATTACTAACAGCTCATTTTTGCTGTATTTTCTGAAACTACAAAATCTTGGTTTAGAGTTCTGTTCAGGAAATGGAGGAGAGGAAATAGCAAAGTTAAAGGAACCAACATGGGAAGGTATAATGACAAAACTCTAAAGGGAAATTCCAGAACTTCATGCAAGTAAGAGCCAAGTGTGCCTTTTAGTGACACTGTTTTGGTCTCATTGTGTCATTGCCTCTTTAAGCACTGTCAAAGTTTTTAATATGTCCCCGTACATCTGTCCATTTCCTCAACATTTTCCAAGTCCCCCCCCTAAAAAGCATGCCTTTTAACCTTAGGAAATTCGCAACATTCATAACGATGAATTAATGGGAATCAGGAGAGAAGAAGAAATGGAAATGTCTGATGAAGAAATAGAAGAAACAACAGAAACAAAAGAAACAGAGGAATCAGGTAATGATAATTCCTGTTTGTTTTATGTAATAGACATTAATTTGCAGAAGCAATATTTTCAAACCTTTAAAACAAGGTACGGTGTTGTATATCTATGTCAACCCATCACACTGGACACCAGATAGAAAAACACTGATGGGCCTGTAAGAGTAAACACTGGCTAAATATCAAACCCGTGTCTATAGAGTTTTCTATATTCTTCATATACCTCTTTTTCAGTTGAAGTATCCAATTTAAATGTGTGCTTTTTCAAAAAATAAAACCCCCACTGGACATTTTGCCATCATTGTTCCATATTTTTATTTGGAATTATTAATATTCTGTTCAACTGTGCATGAATGCTAGATTACTTATACATTCTACCCAAACAGGTAACAGATAGATATATGATTTTAAATGTTAACAAATTATATATATAGCAAAGGACATAAAGAAAAATACAAAGTTGGTTATATAATTTAGGAGAAACCTTCAATATTGTTTAGGGTTGGAAGATGGCTCAGTCACTTAGGTGCTTAAGATGCAAACATGAAGACCTGAGTTTATATCTCTAACATCTGTCTTAAAAATTAAAAGCTATAATCCCAGTGCTGAGGATGTAGAGACTGGAAGATCCTTGGAACCTGCTGACCAGCCAATCAGTAAGACACACATTTAGCAAGAAACCTTATTTCAAAATGCAAAGTGGGGTGTGATGGAGGAAGATATCCAGCATTAATGTCTACTTTCACATGTCTGTGCACATCACATGGTAACACATATACAATTTTACATAAGATTTTGAATTAATGCATAAAATTAAATATTACCATAAATAACAAAATTAAAATCTACAAAGTGATAAATATCTGAAGTAAATAACAATCACAGTTACTTGGAAAATATATTAGATACCAAATAGGACACCTACAAATAGGTGTCTGGTGAAGGCTTTTATTCTAGTCTAGTATAATCAGGAACTCACAATAAGATAGAAGCTATGGTGTTGATACCCAGTAGACCTATAGGGTAAGCCTCATGAACCATAAGACAACACCTTACCCATTAGTTTCATCATAAATTACCATGGATTGGAGATTATCACAAGAGTGAATACCTGCCACCAGATCAAAATTTGAGGTAAACAATTGCAAACAATTTTAGGACTTTAACTATAGGAAAGTACAATATAGCAAAACATTATGTTGGGGGGTATGACTCAGTATGTTAAAACATTTGCTTTGGAAGTCATGAGGACCTGAGTTCAAATCCCCAACAACTACATACAAAGCCAAGCATAGCCATGGATGCCCATAATCTCAGCACTATGGGGGGGGGGGCGTTGGGGACACACAAGAGCATTGAAAAATGATACAGCAAAATACCCAACATCCTTCTCTGGTGTGTATATACACATGTGGTCATGCACACCTGCACATACATGTCATATACCACTAGGCCTACATTTCAAATATCTGAATACTAGTCTCAGATCTAGGAGAGACTTTTCCCTCACTGACAATCATCTTCCATGTAGGAGGACATTCTGATTGTCCAAAACTCAAATCTGCATTTTCCAGTTCCCACATCAAAGTCAGAGGTTCTGGTCTCATGCAAGCAGTCTCCTAATCTTCAGTCCATAAACAGAAGTTCTTCCAGAAAAAAAAAAAAAAAAAAAAAAAAAAAAAAAAACACCATCAAGTCAGACTTTTTAGGCTATCCATTAGTTATTGCAATAGAATTTTCTCTATTTTTTGATACACTTGATCCATAAACAAACAAACTATTGTCTGCACTAGATAATAAGCATTTTCAGAATAGTGAATTGATGCAAATAAATACTACAAACCTGTAGTCAAATTAAAGGAAAGTCTGTAATAAAAATGGAGCTATTCACGAAGATATATTATAGCAGATTAATTAGGACTTACAGTATTGTCTCTACCTCAGTATCTCCAGCATCATATTCACTGCTTGTACATTCTTATAGTGGACTAAATGCAACCTAATTTTGAGCATCCACTTGATGGATTGTATGGTTTGAAGAGTTACTGTGGAAGGTGAGGGGTATGTGGGAAATTCAGTCTGAATGCACTTACTAGGGATATGTAATTGCGTTTTGCTTCTGTATCTCTTCTGAGTTAAAAGCTGTATTGGCTACTGCACAGAATCTTATTCGTTCAGAGACTGGAAACTCCCTGACAGATCATCTTATAGCTATTTTCTTTCCTGTTCCACATGCCAGGATGCTGCTTTGTCAAATAAAGCTATCTACAATAGACTTAATGGAGCTTACCAAATAGCTTTTCTCCCAGAAGGTTTCAATTCATTTTAATTCAAGGACTTTTGTGCATTTTTTTCTTCCCCTCGATCGTATCTAATTCTGTTATCTCGCTTCTGTAGTACTCAACTGCAGAAATCCTGCTCGACGTGAGCCAGCAAGAGTCTCCTTGGTTTTTATCTAAATCAGCTACATGTTTTAGCTATCACTTGTTTCCAATTAAAAGCTTAAGCAAGGAGATCTCCGAGTTGTTTTTGCTCACTGTGCTTCCCAAACTTGAATTCCAGGGGCCTGTAGTGCATCCATGGTTATCTTTTACTTCTCAAGAAAAGTAAAACAAGCTGCATTACCTTGGAATGCCACAGAATTTCTGTTCTTCCCAAAACTCTGTGTGTGCTACAGTACTTGAAATGGAAGAAAGCAATCTAGTAAACAGGGAAAGATCACAGCAGAGCAAACTGTATATTGTGAAATTATTTCATTCTATTGTTAATTGTGTACCCGGTAAACAGAAGAGCAAGAGAGGTTGTTCTTATCTACATATCCCTTTTGCCTTCTTTAGTTAGATTAGTGGTTACCAAGACTGGTCCACCTAAAAATCATCTAGGTGTCCTAAAGGGTACAAGCTGTCAGTCATGAGATACACATTCTAGAGATCTGGTGTGTACTACTGACACTACAATGAATAATGTATTTTGTATGTGAAATTAGCTGTGAGAATAGACATTAAATGTTAGCAACTCCATGTAACTTTGTTCACTGGTGGATATGTAAGTAGACTAGACAAATCATTGCACAAAGCATACTTCTCTGGAGAAAATCTGTTGTAAACCTAGAGTATATATAATTCTTTATCAGTCATATCTCAATAAAGTTGAAGAAGATTAAAATTTTTAAAAAAATTAATGAGATGCAGAGAGTCTATCCCAATAGGTCTTTAATGGTGTTTCAGATACTTCAATTATTTAGATTCTGGTGGTTCAGGAATCAATTAAAAAAACAGTGAAATAGACAAATTTCCTTCATTGTTCTAGCCAAAATATTCTCTTCCCTGTTTCCTCCTCCCTATCATTGAGTTTCCATTATTCTCACTTAAGAATCTGACCAATTCCTAATTACAATGTCCTGCAAGCTGAGAAAAATATAAATATAAATGTAAGTATAAATATAAATAAATCTTCATGAATTAAAAAAAAAAGATTTGCTGCTAACCTTGAAAGGACTGGTTAGAATCCAGCCAAGGCAAGAGATATCACTGTGATCCTGAGTAGCCACAGCCAGTAATAATTGCTAGGGCTTTGAAAGGGAAACGGATTTAGATAGGAAGAACAAGCATAAGAGATTGCCCTGATGGTATGGGAGAGTAGAAGGAAGAAGGAGTCAATGATGTGAGGAGGCATGGTGTTGTGGATGGTTCTTCCCTCCAGCCTGGTTCCATAGCCACATCAGCCCCAAATAAACACATGGATGGATGCAGTATTAATTATGAAACTGTTGGCCAATAGTTTGGGCTTCTTATTGGCTAGCTCTGTCTTAATGATTGACTCATTTCTGTCTATCTATGTACTGACACAAGGCTGTGGCTTGCCCGGTAATGTCTGGCATGTTCTTACTCCCCCGGCAGCATGGCGACTCTGGCAGGGTCCTCCCTACTTTTCCCAGAATTCTCCACATCTCATCTCGCCTATCTTACTGCCTCATTGGTCATTGGCCCAACAGTATTTTATTCATCAACCAGTAAGATAAACATATACAAAAGGACATTCCCTATCATCTTCTCTTCTCTGTCTAAATAAAAAGAAGGGTTTTAAATTTAACATAGTAAAATTATATATGGCAAAAACAGCTATGAAGTAAAAACTATAGTTAACAATATTTAGTTCATTAACATTTAGCAAGATTTAAAGAAAATATTCTCTCATCTATCCTATCTTTGTGAGTCTAAAATCTTATATAACTTATCTTATATAACTAAGGAAAGCCATAACTATAACTGTCTTCAATTCCATCAAAGACTACAGATGGATAGTATATAAACTCGATACCTGGACAGTCACTAGAAGTTTCTCTGTAACGTTGGAGCATCCATCTTCAGCCCATTGGCTATAGTGTGTCTGGCAGACATCTCAGCAAAGCAGGAAATCTGAAATTGTCCCACCTATATTGGCAGTTTGTCATTTTCCTCTGTGTCCTGCAGAATACCTGGCAGATTTCCATGAAGCAGGAACCCTGCAGGACTTTCCCATCTTATTTCAGCAGTATGTTACTCCTTTGGCAACATCGTGACTCTGGCAGTCTCCTCCCTACCTTTCCCAGAATTCTCCTTAGCTCATCCCACCTATCTTACTGACTCATTGGCCATTGGCCCAACAGTGTTTTTTTTTTTCATCAACCAATAAGAGAAAGATGGTATGTGCTGGGGGATAAAAGATCAGGTAGGCCCAAAAGGTCGAAAGTCCTAGAAAAAAGAATGGAAACGGACTCAAACTCAGAAGAAGCTTACATTCTAATGAGAATTTTCTCTGAGATAAGAGAAAGTATGTATGCAGCCCAGACTTCTGTGTCTAATAAGAGATTGGTCATCCATTAATCATAGAAGCTATTTAGAAGTAAGAGACCATGAAGCACAAGGGATAGATACTGAGTACATATTGTAGGAAACATGGAAGGAAAAATAGAGTTGAAGGATCCCTTCAGGAAGGACCAATATGATTCCATATTAATCTAGCTGCCTAGTTCC